ATAGTTGTATAGGCTGCAGATCAGATGGTGTACCAGTCGCTAGGACTAATTGTTTCCATGAATTTTGGTTTTCTTCATTCTTCTTTGCTCTGGACGAGGAAAGACCCATCGTTGCATCTAGATGGCAGCTTCCTAGCAACGGCAGTTTTTTAATCATTACTAAAGCTGGAATTTCCCTCAGAAGTGTGGTTTATTACTTTGTGATCAAGTTTGATCCCTTAAACCCTCCTTCCTTATCTTCTTGACAGTGTAATTAATCTCTTGGTTCTAACTCCTACCTCTTTGCTCTTTCTTCCTTTCCTTTACTAGCTCCTCTCCTAAGTGAAGGCCTTTCCTACTCATCTTTCCTTTAAATATTTCATGCACTTTCACAATTCCAGCTACTATCTTTCCTAGGTTTGTTTTCTTTGGGATAAAGCAATATGGTAAATAGAAAATAAGTCATTTTCACAATAAACATTCTGGGTTGAAGCTCCCATCAATAAAGTAGAAATATACTATCTTTTGATGTAAAACACATAATAATGCCTGAAACAATGTATTTAACAAGTGGGTTATCAGATCTTTTTTCCATCTGTCTCTGGAGTTCTAAAGTAAATTATCCATTCTTTGATCAATTGCATTAGGACTCTGATATGAAATAGAAACCCAGAGGTCTTTTCATCCAAGCATCAATGATGTTGTTAGGTGCAGTCAAGGCGGCTCCGACTCACAGCAACCCTTTGTACAACAGAATGAAACACTGCTCAGTGCTGCGCCAACCTTAACAATCCTTGCTATACCTGAGCCCATCGTTGCAGCCACTGTGTCAAACCCAACTCGTTGAAGGTCTTCCCCTTTTCCACTGACCTTCTATTTTACCAAGCATGATATCCTTCTCCAGGGAATGGTCCCTTCTGACAACATGACCAAAGTAGGGGAGAAGAAGTCTGGCCATTGTCGCTTGCAAGGAGCATTCCAAGCCACACTTCTTCCAGGACAGATATGTTCGTTCTTTTGGCAGTCCATGGTACTTTGAGTATTCTTTGCCAACACTGTAACTCAAAAGCATCAACTCTTCAGTCTTCCTTATTCATTGTCCAGCTCTCACATGCATATGAGGTGATTGAAAATACCATGGTTTGGGTTAGGTATACCTTAAATCTTCAAAGAGACATCTTTGCTCTCCAGCACTTTAAAGAGGTCTTTTGCAGCAGATTTGCCCCAGTGCAATACATTGTCTGATGTCTTGACTACTGCTTCCATTGGTGTTGACAGTAGGGCCAAGTAATATGTAATCTTAGACAACTTTAATCTTTCCTACATTTATCGTGATGCTGCTCACTGGTCCAGTTGTGAGGATTTTCGTTTTCCTTATGTTGAGATGTAATCCATATTGCAGACTGTAGTCTTTAATCTTCATCAGTAAGTGCTTCAAGGCATCTTCATTTTCAGCAAGCAAAGTTGTGTCATCTTCATATTGCAGGTAACAATGAGTCTTCCTCCAATCTTGATGCCACGATCTTCTTCATATAGTCCAGCTTCGCACATTATTTGCTCAGCATACAGATTAAATGAGTATGGTGAAAGGATACAACCCTGACACACTCCCTTCCTGATTTTAAAGCATGCAGTATCTCCTTGTTCTGTTAGAATGACAGCCTCCTGGTCTATGTACAGGTTCCTCATGAGCACAATTAAGTGTTACGGAATTCCCATTCTTCTCAATGTTATCCAGAATTTGTTATTATCCACACAATCAAATGCTTTTACATAGTTGAAAAAATACAAGTAAACATATTTCTGGTATTCTTTGCTTTCTTTTCAACCAAGGTCCACTATCAGCAGTGATACCCCTTGTCCACATCCTCTTTTGAATCCAGCTTGCATTTCTGGAAATTCTCTGTCAATATACTGCTGCAACCATTTTTGAATTATCTTCAGCAAGATTTTACTTGCATGTGCTATCAATGATATTGTTTGATAACTTCCACATTCTGTGGGATCACCTTTCTTTGGAATGGGTACAAATATGAATCTCTTCCAGTCAGTTGGCCAGGTAGCTGTCTTCCAAATTTCTTGGCATAGACTAGTGATTGTGTCTAGTGTAACATCCATTTGTTGAGACTTCTCAGTGGCTATTCCATCCATTCCTGGAGCTTTGTTCTTCACCAATTCCTTCAGTGCAGCTTTGACTTATTCTTTCAATACCATTGGTTCATCATATGCCACCACTTGAAAGGGATGAATACTAACCAATTCTTTTTGGTACAGTGATTCTGTGTATTCCTTCCATCTTCTTTTGATGTTTCCTGTATCATTCAATATTTTGCCCATAGAGTCCTTCAGTATTGCAACCCGAGGTTTGAATTTTTATCTTCAGTTCTTTCAGCGTGAGACATGCCAAGCTTGTTCTCTTATGTTTTTCTAACTTCAGGTCTTTGCCCATTTCATTATAATAACTGACTCTGTCTTCTCAAGCTGCCCTTTGAGATCTTCTATTTAGCTCTTTCATCTTGTCATTTTTTCCGTTGCCTTGAGCTACTCTCCTTTCAATGATAAATTTAAGAGTCTCTTCTAACATCCACTTTGGTCTTTTCTTCCTTTCCTGTCTTCTCAA